CCCTCAAGTAAGTGTATAAATTCATTTTATTACACACGCAGCATAAAATAAAATAAGAGAAGCACCATAAGTTCCAGGGCTGTGCTCTAGAGGTGCCTAGTGCCACAGGCGACTAACTTTGGCCTTTGGGCAATTGGAAAAACTTACTTTTTTCAAATAAGCTTAAGTACTGGACACCCAAGATTTCATGGGTAGGAACCTTTAGGCTCCCTGTAATTTTCCTTAGACCACAGCCTTGGTAGCCATAGGTGCATGTACATCTATTTTCAATAGCATTCTATCCAGAAGGGAAGAGAAATACTCCTATTCACTTCATGAGACAGACACAGGTGTCATGGTGTAAGTGTTGGCTGTACTGGCCACTACATATTGTAGCTGAATGTTCACAGGCTTCGCATGATGCTATTGATTACTGAGATTCACATAGTGTCTCTGACTTGGTTGGTTCTCACTTAAAATAAATTCAAAGCCAAGCGACAATAAATTTAAAAAAAACTGTGAAGGTGTACATTGACTTGCACGTACCTAGTCTCATTAAGTACATCATGTAACTTCTCTACTTTCTATCAATTCCCTTTAGGAATCGAGAACTTATTTCAAGAAATGACCTTGTTCTGCCATGGCAATGTCTATGACCTGGTGACTTTGCATTAATTTTCATTCGAAATACAAAGTGGCTGGACTGAAGAAACATCCCATGTAAGTTTTGACACCTTTTAGAGCTTTTCTTGTGCAATTCAAGACAATTTGCACCCTTGTCAGCTATCATGTGATAAAATCTCAAGCTCATAATCAAATTGTTTGATATAAGACTTTCCTGTGTGTGAAATAGAGTGGATTTTCAATAGAAGTTAAAGATTTTAGCTCAACTTTTACAAATTTCAATGCCCACTTGCATAATATCATGCTACAGGGGTTAGTGGGCAATAGAGTGTGGCCTGGGCCATGACCCAAAAACATTTGATTTTCTTGCCTACAGTATGTTAAATACTATACATTTTATACTTGA